GCAGATCATAAACTGCGTCGATATCCTTAGGTTCCATAGGTCGAAGCCGCGGGGTCGACGTACTACTCGGGAGATGGTTCTTGGTAACTTGGCGGGCCTTGGTTGAGCCGTAGGGGAGCGACGAAAAGCCGACCTCGTACAGCTTCAGCCAGTTCAGGGAACGGTGATAGTAGCGGCACGAGCTTACCGGGGTGGGCAGAAGTATACCGGCAGTGTAGATTGCCTGGTAGATTCCATTTAGGTAGCAGCGACGAGTGATCTCCTTGATCAGAACGGGGGCCAACCGCTTGGACCGCAGCTTCTTGTGGACGCAAAGGAAGTTGATCTCTATGACCTTTAGCTTCTGGGCCCGGACGCGGACCTCCGTAGGCACACCACAGATTGACGCGACTAGCTTGCGGGACTTGGTCGCACGCACGCCGATATGCCATTCCTTTTTCCAGCCGGGAGACATCAAAGCCCTATTTATATAAGCATGCGTACTAGCATTTGACCTTCACTTCCTCCTTGATACAGGGACCATAATAGCACCATCAACTCCAGCCAACGTACCAGTGTAGAAATGACTGAGAGTATCTAAAGCGGAACATGGCGTCATCGTCTTCCACATAGTGATAGGTGAGCAGATCCCATAGCTCCTGGAGCTCCGTCTCGTTCGTTAAGTCGAGGGTCGCCCACTCGAAACCCTCGATGAGCGGATCGGGCTTCTTCGATACCTTCTCGGGGTCAATGATCTTGATCGGTCCATCGCTGACCCAGTCAGATCCGTCGAAGCGAGGCACCGGCTGCGTCTGCCAGAACTTGAAGGAAGCCATGTCCTTCAGGTTCTTTCCATCCTGTGTGAGTCCGGTCGATAGATTGGTGATATCTATCTTGTGTAAGGTGGCATTGTCCTTGTCTATTGCGCCTAACGCGTTCTTCAAGGCGGGGCTGGTCTCCAGCAGCGCTTCCGCGATACTTGGGGTGTTCTCCTTGCTAGACAATTTGGTTGCATTTGTGTTGTCGGCTTCAGAGGCCTGCGTCTTGCCCTTGCTATTGAGATCCTCAAGGTTCGACATCGTGGTGGGCGGTTTGTATGGGTGGGAGCAAATAGGAGCGAAAATGATTATATTGAGTGCGGGAGGATTCTAGTGCCACGTTACTCTCAGTTTCCACTTGGGCTGCTATCTATTCTAAGTACTAATTAATAATCACAAGATGTATTTCACTGTGATAAGAGAGTGCTTATGGACTGTTCTGTTACAATCTGACCTCTGCGCATGCTTAATGAATCGGTTGGTGCCGGCAATTCCGATCGCATCACTGAGCTCCTGTGCAATGGCTGTCTGATACCTCGGCAAATCATAGGGAATAGGTGGAAGCTTGGTAAAAGTGGTATAGGTTTTTTTATATCTATACAGTCCAATTCATATGCATGCGGATACATGTTGAAGCCCCCTCTAACATACCGACGCAATAAGTCTTGAAACTACTTTCTACCACAGTTTTATCGAGTACATTAGCTCTTTCAACGTTAAGAGCTCGCCGTCGTCGTACATAGTACTGAGGATTATATTTAAGAAAACGTTTTAGCCAATAGTTGCCAATATAGGGTAGAGGAGTATTCGGGTCGGAATAGTTAGCCTTAAGAATTGAATCGGCAGCAACCACAATTTATCGACGGTTTATTAAAGATCCGACCGCATTAAAGTAATCAATATATTCATATAAAGCTTTCTCTTATACTAGACTAAGCTTCCGACCATTAGGTAGTCGTTAAAATAACGATTTTCCACCTTTCTACCGGCAACGAAGGGTAGTTTCAGCTACCGCGAATTCTCGCGCAGTTTTCGTAACATTCGGTTTAGATTGCTCAGAGAGAGAATCCAGAGCTTGAAGAATCTTAACCTCTAAAAATTTTTTAGATTTAGGCATTTTTGGTGGTATGGTTGGTGATCAAGGTAAAAGTGCAAAAATTGAAAAAAAACCGCCTACTAGGTAGGCCCTACCACATGGGTGGCAGACCCTCGCTTGCGAGGGTCCGTATTTTTGGTAAAAAAATTTCAAGGGGCCGGTTAGTATGTATAGGGCTTCCCATGTTCCTTCTTGAAGCAACATGAAGCCTTAGATAATTGCGAGGATGATAATAAGCTTCCGCTAGAAATGGTTGATTGGATTATTGTACAATATAACTCTTCGCTATTCGGCCTCATTACCTGCTCGGCTTTCTCTTTGCCTCCGGCGATTTTCCTTCATAGCCCAACCAGTCATGTCGGGGCGGGTAGGATCAATCCTGGGGGCACTCATTTTATCGAGGTAGCCTTCCGACTCGATCTTTGATTCCAGGGACGGGAGATGTTCGGTGTCCTTGTGAATCATATAGCGTTCATATGTGTACCAAGAATCCTCGGCCTGAGATCGGTAAGAGTCAGTATGGAACAAGAATGAGAAAGGTCCATCAAAGAGAGAACTTACCTCGGCGTCAACCCAGCTGTATGTTTTCCATTTTTCATCTTGCATTTGCTTAAGAAGGTCTAGGTTGCCGGCGTTTGCAGCCCCTTCACCATCTTCAGCGGCCTTGACCTTAATATCAATTGCACGTGCTTCGCTCTCGGTAGGACGGTCATCGTCATCCTTTTTAGCACGTGAGCCTTTCCCTTTTGGCATCTCATCTAAAGCATCCAGGTGGTGAAGTTGAGGGTGGAATTGAACAACCGATGTGACGGGGGAGAGATGCAAGTTTTCTATGAACGGATGTTAGAATCAAATGTTGCCACCGGAGAAGAAAGTGATCGGTAGGACCAACGTACTATCTGTGAATGTGGCCAACATGTAGACTGGATCGCCTTCTTCAGAAGGCTTTATCCGACCTCCAAGTGACTGCACTCGCAGCAATGATGCAGAATCCACGGCCCTCTTATTATCCAATATCTCCACATCCCCATTCGCTTCCATCTTGACTCTTCCCCCTGCAGCTGCAGTCCCGCTACCAGCGGTAAAGCCGCCTGCCATACCGTAAGCACCCCCGTCGCGCGCGGAACGGCTCTTCTTTACCGCATCCCCATAGCGCATTCCCTTGTTGACGTCGTAGTTTTCTCGGGTACTAATGGGGACTTCAACTTCAATAAGACCTGTGCGCGGCTTAAGTCGAAGTTGGATCGGTCGTTGATTTTCTTGGTCATTGTAGGGACGGTCGTGTTCCCGATCAACGTATTGGAAGACATAGCGAGAAACATCGGAGTCGGTGAGGAGGACGTCGTAGGAAGCGACGACAGGATCGTCATCGGAGAAATTCATGGCGATACGGTTACTAAATATCTTAGATGAACAATGGACGAGAAAAACGGGGGAACTCGCAACAATTGCAAAATGAACGACTTGGACTGATAACTTTTTTTATCGAAATTCCTCAGCGGGGATGTGGCAGAAAATACAGCTAGTTATCGGTTCAGGATTATGTACTCACCGCTCTTGTGTGGGGGAAACGGAGCCCTTGTTTATTCTTTTTTCTTCCTGGGGACCCCCGAGTTGTGCTGAGAGAGCCACCATGCTATCACCCCTCTCATCATAAAGCACTCTCTGACGTCGAGGCTCTTCTAGCCTCCGTCATCATCGAACACGCCAATTCTACTTCGATGCCTTCCTAGCGTGAGAGACGCACCCCTGCTCAAATCTTCCTATTTTCCGTCGATTGTTGTCAATCTATTCGTCCATCCTTACACCAACCCGCTACCATGACTTGAGGGCATCTGACACGCTCGTGCCAAGACACGCACCGTTCCTTTTAACTAAGGCAACGAACCATACGGAAGTCGACAAAGAAATGCCCCCGCATGGGGTAGTCGCAATGAACGAGGGACGTCAGGGCCGACCAGGCGTATTCGTCCCACCGTGACCCAGCCGGTCACTTGAAAGCGGTTCCCTCGCATAGGGCAACCAACAATACGGAAGTCGACAAAGATATGCCCCCGGATGGGGTAGTCGCAATGAACGAGGGACGTCAGGGCCGACCAGGCGTATTCGTCCCACCGTGACCCAGTCGGTCACTCGAAATCGGTCGCAATGACCAACCAACTAGGCAAGGGCTTCGCGCCTCTATACCTAAGAAGCAGGCACCGGCATCATTCGATGTCGGTTGCAATCTCACCCATGTGAGAATGATGTGGCCCACGCGGTCCGATGTGCCTTACATCATGGCGCGGTTCAGGATGCTCGGGTTGGATGAATTGGTGCGATGTCAACTGACGGAGGTGGTTTGGTTTGAACAGGATCTAAATACAATTAGCTAGACCGTGGACTACTCTCAGATCTCTTTGGGATTTGCACGTCAATAATAGAGTTGTTTGGCTAAATATTCGACCCACGTAGGCTTGTTTAGATCTGGTTTGGTGAGACATAGATCCATCGCTCAAGGTCTCGTAGCTTTATAAATACCCTCAATCCTAGCGGTTTGGTTTTCTAATTGTCGCTTGACCGATCTCAACAGCCATCATGTTAGTACGTATTCTCATCGCAGCGTGTTGTCATCTCTCGCTGGGTCCTCGCCGCCAACAATCTCGCCAGAAACTGCAGTATGTGACGTTCGTGCAGGGCTTGCACCTTACCGGGAGATAGCTCAGGATCCCTCGGTCATGTTTCTTTCCACTTGTTATGGTCTCTTCCACTTTGCGCAGTAGTTGACCGACACCCGTTGACATGTTAGCATGCTATAGGGCTAACATGTTCTGTTGTCGATAATAATTTAGTCTGTACGGAGTACGTGCTTTTCTCCACTCAGTTTGTGCTGAGTGGATTGTTATTCCTTAGGTAAAGAAATATTATTCGTAAAGGATCGAACTTATCTTCGATCCAGTCTCATGAATAGATCATTACATCACGTTGAGACGACAAGCACCAGACTAGGAGTCTTATCTTCGAGTTCCACAAGACAATTGCAGTCCCACGGAGAATTGTTAGCTAGCCAGAGAACAGGGGGTATTCATCTGACAGCCTAATTCTCCAGCAGCTGTATATGTTCCTCTTTAGACCACACCGAGGGTAATGGCAGCATGGCAGGCCAGAATGAAACACATCCAGCCATCTATATATCGTGAGCCTAGCACATAGCAAGAGATATAATGTCTCAACATACCGGAGCGGGTTTCCTTGGTGTTCTCCATCTTCATCTTATCCTCGGAAGATGCAGCTTGCGGGTGGCTGCATGACCAGCTCAAATCAGCGATCCACAATCCAAATTAGGCTACTCTTCACATACCTGTCCCTTCCCCAGAAGCAAACGTGGGCGACGATACCCACAACAATAAGCGCAATAAGAACGCTGGCAGTGAAGACGGGCAAGAGGGGCCAACCCTGGAGCCCGTGGGAATTCTCAAGCTTGCTGTAGCTAGTGTACGTGTCAGTTATAATTATTTTAGTGAACGGGCCGTGGCCTGTCCAGTCTATGTCGTACTGGTTCTCAAAGCGCGCGGGCTCGCCAGTCATTCCTGGGATGGGTGCCATTTTCAGCTGCCACGGTGGGTATACCACTGCCCGGTGACGATAAAGCTGTACGCGTTTGCGGGGTATCTAGGTCTTTCCTAGTGTTTTCAACGCGTTAACGCGTCGAAAAAGGCGATGGAAATCGATAATCGATATCCCAACGAACTTGTATGAGATCAACGCGGATCAGCGTTGGGTTGAATACGATAGTATCAAGAATAAGAGCCTCGGTTGCAAGATGCGATGGGTACACAATCTTGAGAGGAAAGAGAAGGAGGGAGGAAAAGAAAATGCGGGGAGGTGAATATCTGAAGGAGCTGGGGACTGCCTGGCGCCTGACAAACAAACCACTGCACTTTGAAAAACAAGTCAAACTTTAGGGAAGGCGGTGTTTCCTGGTTTATTCCACCAAACAAATGACAATAGATGAAGAGAAACAGAGCTGAGATAATAGAAGGCTACTAAAGACCCTTACAATGAACCCAGGTGACTCTATAGAGAATTTCTCTGCACCGCAGTCGTTCTACTAGGTAGATTCAATCGGATAATTCAGCTCAAATAGCAATACATAGGTAGCAATATGGTATACTATGGCATACATAGGAACATCATCGTCACTCAAAAGCCACAGAAGGAACGTGAGTAGCATCCTCCTCTGACATAGACTGCATTCTTGTCAAGAAAGTCCCAGCTTTGGCAGCACACTGATCAGCCTCGTTTCGGAAGTTCAGAATCCAAGCAACCATAAGCACATCGTGCGGCAAATTATCCTGCACGAAATACTCCACTCGACCTTCATTCTGCTGAACTTTACCCAAATGCCTCGCTAACCGATCATGTTCCTGACACATAACCTCCCTGCCACCAGACACAATCAAAACAGGGGAAGGCAGGATAAAGGGATGCCAGAGCGGCGCAAGATACGGCTCGATCTCGCTGGTGATCTCTAGGTTACCAATAAAATGCTTTGCACCCCATTTGGGGAAGGAGGGCGGGATATAGTCCGTTTGAACATTGGGAAGATTATTCCAGAGATCCTTGTTGCGGGCAGCGGGGATATCGCACCAGGGCGAGAAAAGCCACGTGCATGTTGGTGGTGGGAGGGCCTTCTCGTCGTCAAAGTGGCTGATGTAACGCAGAAGTGCGAGGGCTAGGTGGCCACCTGCGCTGTCGCCACTGAGAACTATGCGAGATGCCGGGATGTGCAGGGTGTGGAGTAGATATGAGTAGGCGGAGATGGCGTCTTGGAGTTGGGCTGGGAAACGACCGTTGGGGTTGCAGGCTAGACGGTACTGCAGGCTGAAGACGTGACTTACCGGTGTGCGCTCTAGCAACCTGTTGGCGAGGAACTGGCAAGATGATGTGCGGCCGTCGCCGAGGATGTAAGAGCCGCCGTGAAACTGGAGCACGACGTACTTGTCTTGGGTAGTCGTTGTGTTGTATTGGTAGAGTGATGGGAACCATGTGCCTCCCACGGTGACTGGCTGGATCTCGTTGTCCACTGCAATGGTAGTGTAGAGCTCTGGTGCACCCGGCTCTATTGCGACGAAGCGGTCTCCGTCTAGACCTGGCTTGAGGGAAAGTGGTGGTTTTGTGCGAAATGCCACGAAGATGTATAGAAAGACTTTAATGAAGGTGTTTGCTAGTGCTTGTCGATATGACCAGTCCTGGTCTTGACGGAAGCGAGGGCGCAGATAGAGCAATGGCGCGAACACCACTGATAGAAACGATTTCATATTGATCAGCATATTGAAACTGGAATGGTCGTTAACGAAAGTGATAAGAGGAACGATAGGAGGGACGATAGAAGTAACGATAGAAGTAACGATAGAAAAAACGATAGAAAAAACGATAGAAAGAATGATAGAAGGGATGATCAAGTGAAGTCAACATTGAAACTTTGAAGTCAAAGACGCACTGGGGTGCCCAGGTGATGTCAGCTGTGCATCAGCTTCCCGTGGTTACCAACGCCCCCTGGCCTGTTTCCACGGTTGGGGGTTTCTGCCACCTTTTCAAGGCCTAGAGGGATAGGAAGAGGTGCTAGAGAAATGATATCATTTGAGTATATATGTACGGGCAGACTTGAGCTGTCATTGAAATGCACATGAAAGGGAATAAAAGAGAAAAAAAGACGAAATCTAACATTTTTGCATGGAATCATACAATCGCCAAGACATCAATGCATTGCGACGTGAGATACAGACGTGAAAATATCCAAGTAGAAGGGGGAGAAAGCAAATTTTAGATCCCATGAGAGTCATAAAAAACCGGAGATTAGATGTGTAACTGCTGTGTTCAGCAGTTACTCTTCTTCTTCTTCCTCATCTTCGGCAACCTGTAGGAGATTATTAGAATCAATAGTGTGGATATCATAGAAGGAATCACTTACGCCATCGTGGAAGTTCTGTCCGTCAGTGGTGGCCTTGATGATACCAGCGCGGATACACCAATCACCGAAACGCTCGGGGGTCTCGCCGTCGGTGTCGCGCTCAAGAGAGTATCGCCTGAGGAGGCCCTTCATAATGTCAAGGATCTCATCCTCCTTGATGGAAGAGCGGTAGCGCTTGTTCAAGCGCTGGCCGTGGTAGCCACCGCCCAGGTACATGTTGTATGCACCGAAGGCCTTTCCGACAAAGGCAACCTCGGCGAGCCAGGGACGAGCACAACCGTTGGGGCAACCAGTCATACGCATGACGATGCTGTCACGAGCAAGACCGCACTCCTCCAGGGTGGACTCGAGCTTGGTGATCAGAACGGGGAGATAGCGTTCAGACTCTGCCATGGCCAGACCGCAGGTAGGGAAGGCAACACAAGCAGAGGAAGACAGGCGCAAGCCAGTGAAAGCAGTGTTGTCAAGCTTGTACTTTGCCATGTGCTCCTTGACGGCGGGGAGGTCTTCGTCGGTGATGCGAGAGATAATTAGATGCTGGTTACCGGTGAGACGGAACTCGCCCTTGCCCATCGCAGCAAGTTCACGGAGACCAGTACGCATCTTGAAATCGGCAGTATCCTCGATACGACCGTTCTCAATGAAACACGTGAAGTGGTTGAGACCAGTATCGTCCTTAATCCAGCCGAAAGTGTCGACATTGGACTTGAACTCGAAGGGGCGGGGTTCGCCGAACTTGAGCCCGTCGGGAAGAAGCGCCTCGACCTCGCTTCGGAAAACGTCAACACCCATATCGTCGATGGTGTACTTCATACGGGCATGCTTGCGGTTCTTGCGGTCACCGTTGTCACGCTGCACGAGCATGATCTTCTCGCAGGCAAGGTGGATCTTGTCGGCGGGAATGTATCCGAACATGCGACCGGTCTGGGGGTAGGTCTTGGTGTTGTTGTGGGTGGTTCCCATACCACCACCAGCCAGAAGGTTGAAGCCTTCGAGGTGGCCATCGGCTCCCTTGATGGCAATCAACCCAATGTCGTGGGCGTAGACATCAGTGTCGTTGTGAGGAGGAATGGCAATAGTGATCTTGAACTTGCGGGGAAGGTAGGTAGGACCGTAAAGGGGTTCGTGGTCAACGACAGCATCTCCAGCAACCTGAACCTTCTTGTCATTGTCATCCTTCAGCCAAATCTCGTGGTAGGCAGAGGTTGAGGGGAGCAGGTGTTGACTGATCTTGGCAGAAATTGCCCAGGTCTCTCGGTGGAAGTCAGACAACTCAGGGAGAGAACTGCACATAACGTTACGGTTCACATCACCGCAGGCAGCGAGTGTGTCCATCATGGAGTTGTTGATGGCACGCATGGCGCCACGAAGGTTGCGCTTGATCACACCGTGGAACTGGAAGGTCTGTCTGGTAGTGAGCTTCATGGTCTCGTTACCGTGTGAGCTACTGATGGCATCCATCTGCAGCCACTGCTTGGGGGTGGCAACACCACCAGGGAGACGGCAGCGAATCATGAAGCTGTACGCAGGCTCAAGACCTTGAGCCTTGCGTTCATCACGGAGATCACGGTCATCTTGCATGTATGTACCGTGGAACTTGGTCAGCTGCTGGTCACTAGCGGGGATGGAGCCAGTGCTCTCATCAAGAAGAGCCTCAGCGATAGTGCCGCGAAGGAAGTTAGAGCCGACCTTAATATCCTCGTTGGTGATCGGAGCAGGCTCCTCAGGAAGACCTTCCACCTTATCGACACCCAGAGACTTCCACAGGCGGGGCTCCCATTCGGAGTACCCGGTCTGGTAGGCATCTGGATCCTGGTCATCACCGAGGCCAATGTCAGTGAGCTTGCGACCACCTAGGAAGGCGACGCGATCATCAAGATCCTTGCCAGGCTTGTTGTAGTAGATCTTGTCCTCCTTGCGCGGCCAGTAGTGGCTGTCACCAAGACCGAAAACGGAATAGTTGATGGTGGACAGGTCGAGATCACCGGTGTTCTTGACATGCTCCCAGAGACTACGACCGTTCACAGGGAATTCACCCTGGCCTGCAGTACTGGTGATGAAAACAACGTTCTCCTCAGTGGGCAAGTCCTCGACAGGGAACTCATCCATAGCGAAGACCATGGTCTTCAGGCCGCGGGCGCGACCACGGTTGCCGAGACGCTTAGCAATGTTCTGAGCATTACCGCCGTCAGATGCGAAGAGAATGGTGAGAGGAGCACCGAACAGACCATCCAAGAGCTTCTCGTAGGAGTCCTTGGCGTTTCTCTTCTGCATAGCACGAACCTCAGTGCCATAGGACTCAGAGAGCACAGGAGCGTACTTAGGTTGGCGGTTCATGAGCTGGGTAAGCTGGTTGTCCCGGCGGAGGAACTGCTCAAGATCACGCTTGATGCGCTCGGAGTCAAGGGAGAACTTTGGCTCTCCCTTCTCCTCGTTGTCGGGGTTCCAGCGATACAGGGGCCAGTAGCCAAGATCGATGGCTTTCTTGGTCTCCTGCAGCACTGTGAGTGCCGAGTCGTTCTCCTGGTTGTAAGGCAGGTAGGCAACAACAACCGAGGGCCCCTTGAACTGCTGGGCCTCGGACATAGCCTGAAGAACCTGGGTGTATGAGCTGTAAACAGCGACCGAGGCG